CCATGGCGGGACAGGGACGGCCACGTGCGGGACGGCGGCAGGCTGACCCCGGGCACGGCGCGCACCTCCTCGGGGCCGCGAGCCCCGTGCCGTGGGACGCGCGTTCCATGACCGGGATGTCCGGGCGGAGCCTCTCCTCTCCTCTCCTCCGGCCCCGTCACTGGGCTCCCTGCTCCACGGAGCCCGGCTCCTGGCGCTGCCTCCTCTGCTGTCGCTCCCTCTTGGCCCTCCAGCACACGTAGGCGGCCACCAGCAGTCCCACCCCGAAGATCAGCGTGGCCACCGAGACCACCTTGGCGATGTCCATCTGCGGGCCGTTGATGGTGAAGGTGATACACGTCGCAGCCACGCCGATGACAACCGAGACGATGCCGAAGGGGAAGATGCAGCGGTACCAGGACTTCTCCGTCCCGCCCGTGGCCAGAGCCAGCTTGTTGAGCGTGGCCGTGGAGTCGGTGGCCGCGGCCAGCGGCAGCCCCGCTTTCCCCCCCTGCAGGCAAGTGAGCGAGTTGGACTTGCAGCCCATCATGTTGACGAGAGCGGTCGCTGGCAGAGCGCTCGGAGCCGCCGTGCCCGCGGCAGGCCGGGCCCTACATGGCAGCGCGGCGGCTCGCGGTGCCGCACAGCCGGCTGCGCTCGGGGCCGCCGCTCTGGCTGCCGGCTTTGGCTCCCGGCTCTTTTGCTGCCGGAGGGAGCGGGGATTGGCGGCGGCGGTGCTGAGCTCACGGCGGTGGGAGGACCGCGCGGGCGCTGCCGTTAACCGTTTCGGGCGCTCGTGGCTGCCCGCAGCCCGGCACCGCGCCTCCCCATCGGCACTGCCCTGCAACCCCCAGGCCCGTGCGCACCGCTCCCCGCAGTGATCTGCCCGCCCCCCAGCGCTCCGGGCGCTGCTGTCATCCCTTTCCAAGCAGCCCTGTCTCTCACATCAGCCCGGCTTTCCCTCTGCCAGCCGTGTCTCAAGGCACAGGGCTGGAGATGCAGGGGGATGGGAGAGGGCTGGGGGTGCCCCAACACGCTGGTGGGACCCCAATCCTTCCTGGTGATGAGACCAAGCATGTCTGCATGGTGGGACCGCAGGAGATGGGGCCCTAACGCAGCTGGGTGGGGAGCAGCCGGGGGGTGTGACCGAAGGGACAGGAGAAGGATTTGAGGGGTGATTGGGGTGGGGTAAGGAGCATTAGGGCACAGGCAGAGATGGCAGCACACATGGGAAGGGGCATGCTGTCAAGGCTTCAAGACCAGCACTGTCCCTGCCCTTGCTGCTCCCCACTACAGCATCCTGCTCCTCGCTGTAGGACCCAATAATTGAACAAAGGCAAATGGTTGTTTTAAAACTGGGAGCAGTTCCACCTCCTCTCATTTCTTTTGCATATATATATATATATATATATATATATATTTAATTGGTTTTCCTGAAGGAGAAAGGGGAGGAATTAGCTGCTGCAGCAAAAGTAAGAAGCCTGGAGCCATTCCCAGGTCAGAGCTTCCCCCAGCATGTGGGGCCCAGCTGCCTCTGCACCAGGAGGCCAGGGGGAAGTCAGAAGTCGAAAATTCATATTGCAACAAGAATGGACAGAGAGAGAGCTGTGCAGATAGCCCTGTGATGGGGGCAGGATGCAGGGGATCCATTAGATCCCTTCCACCCAGACGTGCTGTGACCCTGCTCAGGATGGGGATGTGAAGGGCAGGAGGTGCATCGGGGCTCCATTCCTGAGCAGTGCCAAACCCCATGCCACTTTGTTGCACTGAGGCAGCAGTTTAGGGGCAGCCTGCTCTGCTCTCCCTGCAGAGTGGGGGCACAGCCACCTCCCTGCTGTGAGCCACGTTTGGGTATGGGCTCTTTTTGTTCACAATGAACTCCCCCAGCATCCCATTCCTGGGGAGGACGGGCTCCTCTGCTTGCATCAGCAGCTCCTTCTGCCACGAACTAAGGGTGTAATTTTTGTTACAGAAATAGAGACTTGTGCATGCCCCCTCCTGCTTCCTACAGAAGGAGAGAAAAGCGCAGCTGGGACCGGTGAGTCACGCTGCAGGAGCCCAATGGAAGGCGACCAGTGTGCACCCATTCCTAGGATGGAAACAGAAGAGAGAAGGGATGAGGAACCCAGGCTCCAAGCAAGACTGATGAGCCCCATTAAAGGAAGCCCGGAGTAAGCAGAGTGGTTGAGCCCTGCTGGATCAGCACATGGGGGAGATGAACTTCTGCTTTCCACAGCAGATCCCAGAGAGCCAAAATAACATGGAGTTCACAAGGAAATACCAAAAGAACACAGGGCCAGGATGCAGGCACCCACACAGCTCCGTTCTGCGCAGCCCACTGCCTTCGCACACGCTGGCGGTGACCCCAACCTCAACGCCTACATTTGGGAGCTAAAACAGCCGTGTACAAGAAAGGCTTTGTAGGTGTAGGAATTATGCCTTATTTTTCCTAAAACTGGAAGGCGGCGGGTCTGAAAACAAGCACAGAGCACCACCTCAGGGCAGAGGTAACCACGGCTCACCTGTTCGGCTGTGCTCAACCCACATCTCATTTCCTGGGTGTGCAGCACAGTGCCTCCAGGTGCGATTTGCAGGAACGGCGCTGCCCACAGCCCCACAATGGGGACGTGGATACAGATCAAAGCCACACAGCAGTGCAGCAAGGCACACACAGGGGCTGCACAAACACAGGAGCTTATGGGAACCACGGCATCCCTACGAGTCTTTGGTTTCCTGCAGGAAATCAGCATCGCATTTGGCTGCCAGGGAATGGTTAAAAGAAAGCAAGAAAGAGTGCAGTTGCCAAAAAAAAGAGGCAACAAAGAGTGAAGAACTATTTAGAACCATTGCCACAGAGGGCCCCAATCACAGCTGCATCATCAGCAGTTGTGCTGTCTGCACGTGCCTCAGGATGGCAGAAGGCACCATGCTGTGGAGTGGGAAACTGCACCGGCAGAGACAGCACGAAGCTTTGGGGAGCCTGAGGAGTATCTTCAGGTCTGTGATCAAGCAGCTCCCATCCCAGTGTGCTCACGGCGTGTGCTGTTCCTGTGCTGGGTGCTCCTGGGGCTCCCTGTCCCACAAAGGCATGAGAGCTGCAGATCCCCATCACCTTGCATAGACACAATGCCTGACAGACTCACCTTAATTAGGCAACAATCGATTTTTCTCAATTACAGGGTGCAAAAAGAAAGTCTTCAGCAATGAAAAACGAGAGGACACATCTTCCTTGGCACTTTTGATGTCACAGAGATAGAATTTCATTGACACGGTGCAGAATAGAAACTCCAATGCCTGTAGGGTGGATTGCTTTGGAGTCAGATGGAGTCATCGCTTAGGGGTTCTGCTCTGTGGGGTGCTGCTTTGTGGGGTGCTGCTTTGTGGGGTGCCACCGAGGCACAGGAGGACTGGTAAGTTCCCAGTGAAACACAGCACTGGCTGCACTGACTCACAGCAAACAGCCAATTCAGGTGTTGCCATCCATCACCTTCAGGAGACACTGAGTATTTCCTGTATTTTTTCTAACACCATCCTCTGGCATCACAAATACAATCTCTAATCTCATCTCTTCTCCCCTCCTCAGTCTGAAGCACCAGCATCATTTCCTCCTGTAACAACAGTGCATTTCTAACACAACGATCTCTCCCCTCTCTGGCTGACATCTGTATACAGAAAACCCTGCCAGGCGTGTAGATAAAATACATCCAGACTCCAAGAACCAATGTTCCTGGGCGGCTGCTGTTACGCATGGCAGAGCTGCCCCTGCTGAACGCTCCTCAGGAACCAAAACACAAAGAACCGAATGCAATGCAATGAAGAAATTAAAGTGATGGTAAAAAGCTGACGTTCACCCAGCACTGGGGTGGGTTTGGGCAGATTCTGAAGGTCAGAAAGGGCCAAACATTTGGAAGTCAGACCACCTTAAGTCCAGCCCTGAAAAAAAAACACAGAAGGAAATAATAATGACCAACGTCAGCATCTCCAAGACTCCTCCAAACAGGAGTTTGGTCCAGCTGCAAGGTATGATGCAAACCCAGCTTTAACAAGAAGTAGAAATGCTGCATCAGTATTCAGTGGCCCTTTGCTGAACGGACTTCAAAATGCTTGCAAGCCAGAAGCACGCCATGTGACTCCAAAGCAGCAGACAGCAGTGCCAGGGGTTTAAGTGAAGACTGAAGGTGCAGGAAGAACTGAAGCAGGCGTTCCTGTGGTGGCAAGGTCAGGATTGCTACAGAACTTGTATTTCCCATAGCTGGGCAGGGCATTGCGTTAAGTCACTCTGAAAGACTGCTTCTACAGCCGCTGCCAGCACAGGTTCAGCAGCAAAGCAAAGGGCTGAGTGCCATCTACCGGGCTGCTCCATCACTCCCTCCTGCTGCGGCTGCACCCCCTGAACACACACAGCCCTGCCCTTCCCTGGCTCAGGCACCATCCCTGATAAGATGATCCAGCAGAAGCATGTCAGCTGCAAGCTAGAGCTGTAAGTCATTACAAAAGAGCATGGCAGGTCACGAAGCTGCCTGTGGATCTGAGCAGCAAGGTGACCCACACGCCAAAGGGGCTGCTCCAGCTGCAGCAGTGCGGGCAGCAGCACGGCTCAGAGCAGTATCTGCAAGCACAGCAGTTCCCAAAGAGGCATTGCTGCATGCAGCCTGGGTGGCTGTGGATGAAAACATCAGAAACACTAACAATAAATAATCAGCATTACTGTAACACTGGTTATGTGCCAATTTATGAACAAAGTTATATGGCAATAGCGGCTCGTTTTCCCTGCATTTTCTCACCCCTGAAAGCTGTGTCCCAACACACTGTGAGCAGTGTAACACATGTTAGGGACAGCTACGTCACCTGAGTACAAGGCCATGGCTGAAGTGGGCAAGAATCTGGAGCAGACAGACCTTGGGAGAACACCCATGAAGAGGCTTCATACACACATACACACCTCCATAATCAGCAAGTCACGACCAACAAGGAACAAACCAAAGCCCAGAAAACCAGTTTCTTTTAGACAGACAAACAGGTAAAGTATCAGAAAGGATTTATTGCTTAAAACCACGTCTGCTTATGTGAATGGCCATAGAGAGGCTCTCACCAGCTCAGTCTGCCAGCTCATCTTGCACCAGCACAGGGAAGCGCCCGCCTCCCTCGCAGAGCTGTGTGTACATCGCCCGGTACAGCTGAGCTGCAGTGGCCCCCGGGCAGGGCCTGGTGTCCAGGACAGGCAGCAGTTCTGTCATGGTGAGCTGCAGGAGTAAAGGAGACACGTCAGAGGAGTGAAGACAGGGTGCTCCTGTGGGAATCCTAGAACTGAAGTGGCTGCATAACAAATGCGGTCTAACAAGAGCACTGTGAGTAACAACATGCTAACTGGCACGGGAAAGCCCTCCTTGGCCAGCCTTCAGGATGGCAGGGTTGCTCATCCCTTGCTCGTGAAGCATGCCAGCAGCCATGCAGTGCTCTGAGCAGTGAGATGACGGGCAGTGCTCCTGTGCTGCGCTGTGCTGCAGGGGAGGACCAGCACTGCGCTGAGCTGCATCCCTGTGAGAAGCTGAGGGCACACATGGGTGAATCATAGAATCCTACAATACCCTGGGTTGCAAAGGAGCACAGTGCTCATCCAGCTCCAACCCCTGCTGTGTGCAGGTCGCCAACCAGCAGCCCAGGCTGCCCAGAGCCACATCCAGCCTGGCCTTGAATGCCTGCAGGGATGGGGCATCCACAGCCTCCTTGGGCAACCTGTGCCAGTGCCTCACCACCCTCTGGGGGAAAAACTTCCTCCTAATATCCAACCTCAACCTCCCCTGCCTCAGTTTAAAACCATTCCCCCTTGTCCTATCACTACCCACCCTCATAAGCAATTAAAGCTGATGCTGGATGTGGAACAGGTGAAGCTGATGTTGATTTGGCAGCTCTGAACCACGCCACTCAGGGCTTACTGACCCACTGCTAAGCACAGCTCTTCTCTTTGACTGCCTGACACCCCGCTCACAGAGCCCAGCTCCCAGTGAGCTCAGCCCACTCTGCAGCAACCTGCTGCCCTGCAGCAGCACAACGGCATCAAGCTCTGAGATGTGACTGACAACTGAAGCACAAATGAAGTCTGTCTCACTGTCAAGGGACAAAAGCAAACCTTTGGTGTGTTGGTCTAGAATGAATGCTCAGAAATTTGGCCAGGGATTTTTTCGGCTGCTACCTGCAAATGAACTCCAAGCAGTCTGCTCATTAGAGCTGCATGCGGCCTACTGTGTGCACTGCTTCTCACAACAGCAGTAGATGATAAGCTCCATGTGATCATCACAGCCCTCCAAGCATGTTCCAGTGGAGGACAGAAAGGAAGACCCAAACATCACAGCATTCTGGGAAGCTGCAGAGGGCTCCTCTCCACAGTTCTCTATAAATCTCCGCAGGAAACAGGAACAGAACATTTGCTAATCTCTGAAAAGAATGAAGATCTGTAGACAAAATGCCACCTGAGGGAAAAACTGGCACAGGTGGGGGAATGTAGCACTCTTAAGAGAAAGCCCCCTCTCTATTCCATCCTCTGATCTGTTCCTGATAAAGAAGAATAAAGGGAAACAGACCTTCACCAAAGATAAGCTAAGAATTAAGAGCACTTGCTATGATTCCTGCTGTTCCTCTTCCTGCAAAGGACAGACTTGGCCCAGGGATAAATAGATCCTTTCCCTGGTTATTTATCCTGCACCAAGTCCATTCACCTCACCTGTCCCAAGAATTTCATGCACCATGCATACTCTGAAGAGAGCTGCTTCAGATACCCAGAGCTCAGCTGGCACACAGCACCTATTTAAATACTCGTGCAGAGGAAATGGGATCCACCAGTGAAGCAAGGGGCTTCAGTCACTGCGATGCTTTGGGCAGATAAAAGCAAAGACCTCACAACCCATAATTCAAGGATACAGCACTAAAATCCCATCTGGAAACAAGCAACACTCCATCTTCAGCCAGGGAGAAAAGCGTGGCATCTTACAAATAACTTCCCTGGGTTATAAAAATTGCATTTCCAAAGCCTGAAATCACTGAGATAGGTTGAAGGGTAGGTCAAAGCCACAGGGCAGACATGGCCTCACAGACCTCTGCACTTTGCTGTCAAGAAGAACTAATGGTCCCATACAGCAAGCACTGAGCTTCTTTCATGTTCTGACAGGCTATAGAAGGAAGGGAAAGTCAAGATCAGCTGCACAGAGGGGTGACACTAAAAGGGAAACAGCGGACAGCACAGAAGTTTGCCAGCTGAAGATGGTCACACGAGAGGATGACAAAGTGGGGGCCCTGATGGGATGGTAAACAGTGGCCAAAGCTGATCTCCAAGCACTACGAACTTCAGCCTGCACTGCCACACTCCAGGACAGTGGCAAGAAAATGTTATCAGAAGAGGGTCAGACACTTCAAGCTGTTGAAAGGGTAGATCTGTTCTTCCACAAAGTCCGTGTGGCACCAACACGACATGGATGTGAGGCATAAGGAAATGCTACTGGGAAAGCTTGCTGTGCCACTGCTCTCTGCTGCTCCACAGCTGCCTTCTTCTCACCCTACCACGGCAGCACTAACCCTTACAGACCCACCTTTTGTAAGGCAATCTCCTGGTGCAGCATAGACACTTGCAGCTTCAAGGCAAACAGATCCCTCAGTTCCTGGAGCCTGGAGTAGCACAGGAGAGGCACAGCCAGCGTGCCTGCGCTGCCACACACCCGAGCCCCAGCAGCATGGGCTGCACAGCAGCCTCCTTGGTCTCCAGTGCAGTCTGGGTGCAGCCTCCTTTGGGACTCCACAGCTGTCAGGATGAAGAATAGGCAGTGACAAGTTAAATCCACATTCACAGAGCTCGGGACCTACTTCAGTCATTACTTTAAAGGAACACGATGATGTTATTCCACTCGGGGCACACTCCTCACACATGGCACAATCAGGACAACTTGACATATGGCACACAGTGTCCCCTCCCCATTCTCTCCACAGCTCCATCACCAGTTGTGAATTGCAGCATCCTACCCACACAGGGCAAACTACTGTTGAGGCACACCTGACGAAAAGCTCCAACCAGCTCCAGCTCCAGCTCACCTGCTCGTAGAAGCTGCAGCTGATGCAAGCACTGGGAGACGGCGCTTTGCAGACTTTCCAAGGTCAGAAGGCTTTCATACTCTCTTTGAAGAGTGGGATGGTCTAGAGGAGAAGCAGAGGAAAACCAGCAGGCATGAGCATGCTGAAACCCACCAGAGACATCAGTTTCAGGAGTGGCCATAGGTTAACAAGCCCTCATGTGGGGCAGAGAGGGCTCCCGTCCATCTTGCGTGGCACATGCCAAGAGCACCAGACACGTGGAACTGGAACCCACTGAAACCACCCCTACTCCACCCTCTGCCCTCCACCCCACTCTTTTCTTTCGTACCTGCAGACTCAGCTTCCACATACAGGCTCAGACGGGAGGGGACATCCTGGAGGGCTTTTAATTCCTCCTCTATCTCCGCAGGGCTGAGTGTCGACATTGGTGAACGAAACTCAAACAAAAGCAGCTTAAGGAACATTTGACAGCAACAGCCCAGCGCACGCACCTCAGCCCAGAGCAGCTGGAACCAGGGGCAGCAGCACAGAGCCCATGAACCAGCACTGCAGGCAGAAGGTGAGGGCAGTGCAGATGTTTACCTCTCAGCCTCCTCTGCCCAGATCACAACTTACACAAATACACAAAAACTGCTCCACAAGGAAGAAAAAACGCTTCCTTGACAGCAGGCTTGAATCCCTGCTATGGAGGCACACCTCCTCCCCATGGACACACACCACAGACTGATAAGAGCTGGGAGGGATGAGCAGAGGAAGGATACAGTGCTCTGGGTCCTCTCCGTGAAACGCATCCTCGCAGCCGCTGCATCGGCACTCGTGTGGCAGAGACGGCACTTCTCCCATGCCCTGAAAAGCCCAGGCGGTCAGGAGGGGTTCAGGTCTGCTCACACCACAAGCGTGCATCAGTGCTTCCAATACAGGCACCTCCTCGCCTTTTTCTTTCCCTGCACGTTTGCTCCTCCACTAAATGCGTGCAAACCCAAGTTTCCATGGGAGGGCACGCACAGGACAGGCTCTCAGCACTGCTGTGATTTCTCTCCCTGGGTGATCTTTAGCACAAAGGTTAGTTTCAACTTGTTACCCAGTGTAAAAGCAACAACGAAGAGCTTTAAGTTGTATCAGAGCTATCAGGATGCTGAAGGGCTCCATTTAGCAGGGAAAATTAAGGGAGCCGATTATTTCCAACTTGCCAAAGGGCAGCTGACAGATTGCTGCCTGATAAATGACTGCTCCCCGCAAAAGGAGCAATTCCTGAGGTCAATGCAAGGAGCCCTGAATGCAATTCATGGCTTAAACTTAGGATCTGACAAATCCCATCATCAGGAGGCAGTGAGAGATGTGCCTGCAGACTGGGGGATGGATGAGAGCACTGGGCTCACCCAAAAAGCAGCTGCCCAGTGGTTAACACCTCTGTTCAGGGCAGCTTATCAGCAGATCTGGCCTCATGCAAGCACAGCAGCAGTGCTACCAGCACAGAGAGCTGTCTAGGCCACCAACAACTTGGTGAAATAACAGCATGGGGTAATCACTGCCAGCCCTCTGTGCAACCCTGGTGCTTACCGGGAGTTCCTGGTGTGGGCTTTCCTGTAGGGCAGGGGCAGCTCCAGCTGGCATCTGCAAAACAGGTTGGCTGCCATTGGAGGTCGGCAGAGCCCCGTCTTCTAATAGAGTAATCTACTTTTTGTCTTAATTAGTTTAGCTGTAACGGAAGACATCAGAAGCCCCAGAAGTTAAACCCAGGTGTTCGTTCCTCTCTACACCCATCACTGAGCAGAGCTGGGGGGAGCTCTGACATCGTGCTGCCAAAAGCCCCAACTCAGGGGGGTAAAGCCACAGCTCTGAGTTGCTGTGCTGCACAGCTGTGCACAGCCCTTCCCACCGTGCCGCTGCACCTGAGCTCCACGAGGATGGGAAAGGCACACTGCAGCTCCCACTGCATGCACAGCAACGAGTCAGGATTCATTCTGCTGTGGGGGTGAGGTGAATACGTGCAAAGTTCCTTTCCCATTCCTTTGTGTGCAAAACCCTCTGCCAACTGAGCTGGCAGTTACAGCGGAGCCTTGTGCAAACTGCAGCCAGTGCTGCAGCCAGGGTGAAAGGAAATAAACACCCAAATCCACGTTCCTGTTCCCACAGCAACAGTCACTCTGTGTCCTGCACCCACCCACCCCAGCACTTGCACTGCAGTCCTTTCCCCTGCACAGACACAGGGGAGCTGAGCTGGGGCTGCTGAGAGCAACATCTCAGTATTACCCAAGCGCAGGACCAGATCTTAATGTCACTGTTTCTCTCAAGCACAGAGCACACAGAAATGAATGCAGAAGTTATGTGAAAAGACAGACTGGTCTGCCACAGTTTTCCTGCCCTCCCACAGGACGTGGCACTAACACCCACTTTGTAAGCCTTCCTGCACCCTACACTCAGGCTAATCCTGATTCTACAGTTACGCAGACAGCATCTTAGAAGTTAAAGGGCATAGTATGAGATCCAGAAAGCAGCACTGGGTATATGCTTTTGTGAGAGAGAGAGAGAGAGAGAGATGATTCATGAATTATTTGTCATTACCTCTGTTTAAATAAATGAAAATAAAGAAAATCAATAAGCTGGCATGAAAAGCGGACTCTGAGGCAAGCTCTACAGAGACAGCTTCCCAAAGCAGTCACGGCAGGCCTGAGAAGTAGCAGAAACCATAATGAAAGGACTTCTGAAGTCCCAGCCATCTGAGAGCAGCTCTCAGCGTGCAGACGCTCACTCAGTAGCCACAAAAGTCTCCAAAGGCCCCTTCCTCCAGCAAAGAAGGTGAAGTTTAGCATAAATCAGGTCATACAGAGCAGCGTTGCAGCTGCGTTTGGCCACGCTGAGCACAGCCAGCACTCACCCCTGCTCCTGCAGCACGGCTGCCCGCGGCGATGCGCTCCCTGCACCAGCTGTGCGCTCCTCTGCTCCGCCGGGCAGCCCGAGGGCAGCACAGCACCTCTGCCCATCACTGAGCTGCTGCCCACACACAGACGCTGAGCTCCCTTCCCCAGCAGGGCCGCCGTGCTGTTGGCTGGGGGCAGAGCTGGCAAAGCCAGCTGTCCTCTGGGGTGCGGCGGAGGCACGGACCGCTGGCCCACGCCTGGCTCTTTGTTTGGGAGCCACAACTTTGGAAGAGCTCTTCCCAGCCCCTGCAGGAGTCCTGCTGACACGTCCTGCCGGGGCTTTCCTTTGTGTTCTTCTCACATCTGGGTCAGTCCTGTACGGCGCTCGCAGCCGGTACGAAGGAGGTTTCTTGGCAGCGGCGGGCTGCTGGCTTCCAGCTCTCACCTCGCGGCTGGGGCAGGCAGCCGCAGGGCCGTCTCCGATGGCCGCAGGCTCCTTCAGCTCTCCCGTATCTCCACCATCAGACTCCCTGCCAGCAGTCTTTGCTCCCGCAGCTCCCCGCGACGCTGGGGGCGTTCCGGAGACGCTTTTTCTGACTCTCAGCGCTTTCTCCAGGGCGGCGTTCAGCAGCTCCAGCTCCTCCAGTTCCCGGGATGAAGGCGCGCTCTCTGCCAGGAGGAGACGGCCCGGCAGACCCCAAACCCGGATCCCCCGTTATTCCTCCACGAGCCAACTCGCTCCCCCAGCTATCCCGGCACGAACCCCCCGCCGGGCCGAGTGACGCCGGCTCGGGACAGGAGCGCTCACCGCGTCCACCGCCGGCTCCCGCCTCCGCTTTCGGCCGCTCATCTCCTCGCCGCTCCCTGCAGGGCACACGCACAGCGGCCCGGCGTTACCACGGCCCGACGTTACCGCACCCAACCTCGGCACCGCGGCGCCGACCGCTCTCACCGCCGCAGCAGATCCCGGCCTCGCTCCGCACTCCGCTCCAACTCCCTCCGCCGTTCCGCGCCTCCGCGTAGCGCCGCCTGCAGCGCCGCCTCCAACCTGCGGGGTCCGAGCGGGGAACGTCAGCCCGCCCCGCTCCGCTCCTCAACGCCCCTCTCCGCTGCTCCCAGCCCCGCGCCCTGCTCCGCTCCGCTCACCGCCCGCCGCATCCCGCGGGCAGCATCCCGCCGAGCACCCGCGCTCCTTCCGGCGCTGCCCGGCACAGCGGCGGCCGCTGGGGGCTCTGGGGGCGGTACCGACTGCGGCCCGCCCCGCTGCGCTGCCCGCCGGGATAGCGGCGGCGGGAGGGGAAAGAAACGCGCCTTAGGGCGGGGGGACGTGTGCCGTTATGGACCGTTGGACGTACGGATAGAAGCCAGCACCGCACCGGGCGGAATTAGCGGCAGAGTGGCGTCGCGGCATTGCACTTCATAGGATCGTAGAATCATAGAACGGCCTGGGTTGAAAAGGACCGCAGTGATCATCTAGTTTCAACCCCCTGCTTTTGTGCAAGGGTCGCCAACCCTGCTGCCCGGAGCCGCATCCGGCCTGAACTGGCTGATAGAGCAATCTTAGGGACAAAAGGGGCGATTTGAAAAGAGAACTCCCCATCCAAAGGACCGACCGACACTGCACAGGAGGGGCGCCAGGTGGCATTAAAAACTGCCAAATAAGGCTGTGTCTGCTGGACAGTCATTGGGGGTGGAAATGACTTTGAGAGTGTCGTGAATATGTAAAACATATGAAAATATGACCTGTTCTCAAACAATTAACCGAGGAAAAGTTTTGGAGGGTTAACCCAATGCTACCCCAGCGCTGCCTGTCAGAATACCTGCCAAGCAATAAAAAGCTTCTGCAGTGAGGTCTCTCCACGTCCATTTCTTCAGTTCAAGATGCAGGGTGTTACTGTGTCGGCTTCTGCTCTGGAAGGCTGAGTTTGTCTGGTTTTGCCATCGCTTTACTCACGGAGGGCTGCATCTGGAGCTTTGTCTTCAATGTGGAGTTCACCTGTGGCCGCTCCATGCAGTGCTCAGTGCTGACACCACAGCTTGGCATCGGTAATGATGCGATCCAGGAAAACAGCATCAGCCTTTATCGGTTCAGTAGCACTGACAGACTGAATCTTTCTGCTCCTGTATGAGCATTAGTGGGACCCACCTGGCACAGACTGCAGTCTTCCAGCATTGCCACCATCATCTCCGATGCATGTTCTCCTCAGTCCTGCTCACGATGCCCTCATTCTCACAGATGAGGCACTCCTCATTTTGTGGTGTGACAGATGTGCACGGCCATCTGGAACGTGCCTTATCCTCACCACTGCTGAAACGCACCACAAACTGCACAGATGGGCTGCCCTTTCTCCTGATGAGGTTTGACACCAGCCTTGGCTGCAGGGTGGAGTTGGACCACCATGGAGGGTCCCTTCAGCACAGCGCCGTGCTGCAAGCTGTGGGAGAACTCCCAGGTTCTCGTTAGGCATCTGCAGGCTGTTCAAATGTAAGCAATTACAGCCATCCATAAGGAGGATCAGACTGCTGTGCTGTAGGGAGACCTGATCTGATCTCAGCAGCTTCTGCATCTCATCTCCACACCTGGAAGCACTGCAGCCAGGCGGCCCCTGTGGCACCAAAGTGTCCAAATGAACCCAGCATGCAGCCACAGCGCTGCAGGGGCCGAGGAAGCCCTCGAGGTTGGTCTGTGCCTGCTGGGAAGAAGGACCGGGGAGCCTTTGTGTGCCAGCAGTGCCACAGACCGTCCCATCCCTTGCCTGCAGTCGTTCAGGGCTGGGTGGCACCGCAGCCCACAGCGCTGGGAGCTGGGAGGGCGGCAGCGCGGTGCTGGCTGAGCCGTGGAGCCGCACTGTGCCGCAAGAGCTGGGCGAGGTGGTAATTAGCAGGTGGAGAGCAGGAGCTTTCTGATAGATGAAAGCTCTGTGCTGGCACATGTAGCTCCAAAGCTGCCCGTGGCAGAGCGCTGCTGCCCTCAGAGCGTGTGCCCCTGTGCTGCTCCGTGCCTTTTGCAGAGCCCTGCAGCCGGGCAGCTGCTGCACAAACACACGGACCTTCCCTGCTGGGTGCTGCCTTTCCAGTGGCTCATCTGACACAATCTAAGGTATCTGTCTCTGACATTTTTTTGCTGATAGCATCTCATGGTAAAGGGGGTAACGAGCAAAAGGTGACGTTCTGTTCATATAGCAGCATGTCGTGGTCCTGTGCCGACCTGACCCTGACTGGCACAGCTGGCACACAGCACATGAATGCCTGGACTGAGAGATGGGATTTTTGACTAACAGAGCATAAGTTGGCATTCTGCTTCATCTTATTGCTTGCTGGGGTAGTGCTGGGTCCTGTGACATAGCACGCACGCTAAATGGCATTGAAACAGGTGCTTAGTACCACTTCAAGATTTATTTCCAAAAGGCAAGTGGGTATAAAGATAAAATAAAATACCTGTGTAATGGAGAAGTGGCAGTTGCTCATAGGCACAGCTCTGCCAGCTGTCACGAAGGCTGCTCCAAAAGTAATGCCTCCTATTCCATTCCATTGGCCCCCAGTGTCAGAGGCAGATGGTGGTGGGATGGCAGTAGGGGCTGAACGTTCCCACCAACACTGTCACATTTTGTTGCTAAGTGACAGACAGCAGCAATGGGGCACTCTGACAGAGCAACGTCTGACATGAAGCACAGGTGTAGGATTGAATTCTTTCATGCAGAAAACGTGGCACTTATTGGCATTCATCAGTGCTTCTGAATGCTGATGGAGGCTGAGCAGTGGCTGTCAGCACAGTGAGGCTGTTGGTGGTGCATCTCAGTGGTGACAGTGATGTGAAAGACATCAATGTTCCACAAGGCCATGCAGATCTGTATTCTTGGTTCACGGCTGGTGAAAATGCACAGCTAATGGCAGTGACTGTTTTGGAAAATAGTGTTTGGTAGCTGAGGATTGCCTCTGTCAAATGGTGTCACTGTGCTCTGTTTGTCAGCTGTAGTTTCCATGAAAATAAATAGGAAGCGTTACTTTTGGAGCAACTGACGTATTTTCAGGACCTGCAATGATGATGTATTTTGCATAGGTGAAATGTGGAGCTACAATGTCAGCATTCATTGCTTATGGTTGACAGGTGCCCAGTGACGTCCTGTGATCTGTCTTCCCTCATTACTGACAGCCCGGCTGTCAGACGCCCAGCAGCTCATCAATAGAGCTGTCCCAAGCCTCGGGTCTCCTGCTGAGTGCCTAAAGCTCTTTGAAAACCCAACCCAGAGCCCATCATGGTCAGATTCCTTAGGGCAGAATTCAAGCAGGCACCACGCTTGGATGAACGCGGGGAAGGGGGAGAAAGTAGGAGACAGAAGCAGAGCAGAGTCCCTCAAAGCAAACTGATTCTTCACCCAGTGCTGGGAAGCCTTAATCCTGATAGACAGAATGATGGTGCAATTCGTCACCATTAAACCTACCCAGTCTTTATTGTGTGACACCAGCTGTGCTCCTCCTGTGTGCTGCCCATAGAGATCACAGCTGTCTGTTGAGCTGACACAGGAAAATCCTCCCTGTGTGTAGGAGGGCAATGTCCTGGATAAACCCATCAGCCAGTGGGGAGATGCCTGAAGGGCTGAGGTAACCCAGAGGCACTCTTCTCTGGGTCCCAAACCATTCTTAAGTTTGCTTAGGGAAGGAGAAATCCTCAAAGCAATTCCAGCATAAGCCTGTGGATGTTGCTGTGTGGCTGCAGAAATGCATAGCCATCCAGAGATCCTATTCAGCCCTCGTCATCTCTTTGGAGCAAATACTCCAGGAAATTGATTCCCAGAGCCTGCACTTCGCTGCAGCCAAAATCCCTGCGGAATTCTCCTGGCTATCAGCAAGATGCAATGGGAAGGGGATGCAAAATGTCCTGGGAAGGCACTGTCTGCAGCTGGAGGGGGAGGACGGCTGCATGCAGCGGGCTCACGGCTCTCTGTCTGCTGTGCATTCCTGTGCAGTTTGGCTCTGGCTCTCAGAAGAGCTGCTTGGCCCTGTGGGTGGAAGGAAGCGAGGCACGGCCTTGTGTTGTGCTGCTGACAGGCTTTGTGGTGCGCTGCAGCATCGTTCCTCTGTCTGGTAGGCACACTTAGTGCTAGCAGTCCCATCAAACCAGGCAGGTGACGGCTGTACCTGTGGGAAGCAGAGGATCGATCCCCTGCCTGGGGAGCAGACGTGGTAAGGACAATCACATTAGCATGTATTCAAAATCCTGGAGCTGAGCTGAGCTCCTGGCTCACACTGAGCAGTCACAGCATCCCTCACAGCTGTTGGAATATGGAGGGTTCTGGTCCCGTTGTGCACTGAGGGACCTGCACACTAAGGGGTCTGTGAGGCCGTTTTACCCTTAAGGCTTCTTGCTTGCTGGTTTACAGCCTGGGAAAGCACAGCCAAATGGAAAACTAAGGGCTGCTTCCTTTTGGTCCTCCTGCATGGGGGAATATGGGGCTGTGGGGCAGGGAGCACCAGCCCGTGGGCCTGAGCTTCTGACACTGAGATGGTAGTGAGCTGCATGGGTCTGAGCCCCACGGGGGATGGAGGGCAGCAAGGGCCACGGGAAATCTTCTCTTGTTTCTCTCAGACCCGCTGGTAAAGTGTAAAACAAATTTATGTTCTCATCTACTGCTGTAGCACTGGTGGGTAAAGGCTAAAACCTTGCTGGCTCTCTGCTTATTAGAAGAAGTTCAAACATGGGGTCTATGTACCTTGGGAGTGAGGCTTGCAGGCAAACACATTTGTTCCCAAATGTTTTCCTTCCAGTTAGAGGAACACCAAGCCTTTCACTTTGGTGAGGTCTGTCTTTTCCCACCTGCAGGTATTTCTGCTAGGATGTGAGTGATGCTCTGCTGTTGTGCTGTGCAGTGCAATGGGGGAATCACAGCTGGGCTCAGCCTGCATGCCCCACAGCCCTAAACAGGGTACAGTGAGAAGGAAGAACCCCCAGGCACCCATACAGCACAACTAACAGAGGCCAATCCATCAGTGTTTGTGCTGTTCTAGTAGCAAATCCAAGACAACGAAGCGAGGGTGTTATAAAATGCTTTTCCTAACTGCTCTTTTATTGTTCTCCCTCTTTAGCTAATCTGGACTTAGAGGAGAAGGGAAATGTTGGCTCTGAGCACTGCCCCTGTCTGTTCTGCACTGTATTGACTGACAGTAGAAGGGGCTGCAGTAATATATTTAGGTTTTAATGAAGCATTCGACATTGTTTCACAATGCAAAGCTGATGAAGACAGGCTGTACGTGAAAGCTAATGACAGAGAAGGTCATCTCAGGTGGGGGGAAGGCATCTTCGGTTTCTCCAAACGCTACTGTCAGATTCAGATGTGATTAATCAGATCAGATTAACATCATCTTTGCTGCCAGTCTCAGACAGGAGCGATCAGCTGCAGGCCATCAGCTGCATAGGTGAGAGCGTTTGATGAGCTGCATCCTGCTCCCCTGGGCTGCAATCACGCTCAAACCGAGCTCTCATTGATTTGCTTTATTCAGTCTCATCTTCCTCATCTGGCATTCAGAAACTACCACCAGTGGAGACTGGAAATCTTCTTTTCATTACTCCCAAACTTGGTTTAGTACACAGGACAGAACTTTTCAGCTAGGAAGATGTCCGAGTTCAACTGCCCGTGTTTCATCCCTAGTGCATTCAGCCCAGACTTTCCCATCAGTCGATTTTGAACTGCTCCAGACACGCAGGCACAGACACATCATCCTAGGAGGGATCTCTGCTCGTTTCTCACACTCGGGTTCTCACTCCATCTGCCAGAATGCATCCTTGCATTCACTGACAGCTCCTCACCCTGTTGGCGAGGCCAGGGTTATCAGGCAGCTCCAGCTCTCATTCCCCCTCAAAAGCTCCATCTGCTCTTTCTGAATGACAAAAGAATGTACATCATTTCCTGAAGAATCTCTGGAAGAAAATACCATTGGTGAGGCCTTGGGTCATCCTGGGAGGGCCAACGCTTCCATCTCATGCCATCCTCCCATTCTCCACCATTCTCAACCATTGTCACACTCCTTTCACATCCATCCCCGCACACCCCGAGACACAAAGGCTCCAATCACCAGTGGAAGCAGTTCTTAGTTCTTAACAGGAGGTCGTATCAGCCTGCAGGTGAAGTTGCTTCAATTTCCCTTTGTACTTGGAAGCAGGCACTGATTAAGAGCCACCAGAGGTGCTGCCTCCCAATCAATGGCTATAGCTTTTGCCAGTAAGCTATTGAAAGTTGGGCCAGCCACCCTTTTGGACAGCCTTCTGATTTCCTCAGGTAATTTGATTGTGCCCAACTCTCTGTGAGACCACAGCAACTTTGAACTGCCGTAGTTTTGATCACATCTAACGAGACGCGCCGCTCCAGCAGGCGCTGCCAGCTCAGCATGGCTCCTGGCTCACAACACACAAACAGGGGCTCCTGGAGCAGAGGGGGCCCTGCATTCAGGTGCAGAAGGCTCAGGGAAAGGCCTTCTGCCTGTCGGGCAGGTGGGGTGCCAGCACTGCATTCCCTTTGCTTGGCCTTTGGTGAAAGGCTCTCCTGAGTTTGTGATCCTGGGTGGCGTTAAACAGCTCTGCTCCATGTTTGAGACAAGGACCAAAGCTGAGCAGCTGCACAGCGATGGCCCCACCAGCCCTGAGCCCATATGCCAGGCTTGGCTGGGCTGTAGGGATGGGAGAGCTACTGTTGGGCTCTGTGCTGGGTTTAAGCCGTGTTTGTGCTGCAGTCCCTGAGACAGCTTAACACTCATAAGCTGTCAGACCTTGCGTTTTTCATCAAACCTGAAACTGATTATTTTAGAAATTACTGTTAATTGCTCTCCCTGACCAAGAAGCACAGCTCTTAGATCAGCTCTTCATGAAGCAGGTGCCATCCATCACTGCATCTTATGTCTGCTCATTAGGAGCTGCCTTCGTTACTGACCCTGCATGTCAGCTGTGCCTGAAGGCCTGGAGCTGGAGCCTCAGCAGCAAGAGGAGGTATGAGACGAGGGTTTTGTAGCTGAGTGCAAAACCCTACGCTGCCAGTTGGTGCAAAGGGTGCTTTGTAATGAAGGTGCAGTCTGGTGAGCAGAAGGTACAGCCCAGAAGTGAAGTGAGTGCATCAAATGGGCTGAGCCTCTGTCAGCATCTCACCTGCAGACCCCGATGGGGGCTGATGTTAGCTGTGGTCTGAAGACCCCCTGGATGGTCTGCCCTGGAGGTGATGTCCCCTCAGAGCCCGTGTCCGTGCAAGGGAAGCTGCTCCCCATCCCCAGCTCAGCTGTACAGGCAGGGCAGGGCTCGGCTTCACACATGTCAGAATTTCCACCAGCGTTGTTATCCTCGCTCCCACATTAGGCAATGATTTATGGCACAGAGAGTGTGTAGACTCTAAGAAAGCAATGTGCTCTGCAGGACTGGTGGCCACAACGCTGCTTTTCTGTTGCAGGGCAATTGCTCTTTATGAGGACCGGGAAACGAGAGACTTTGAGCATTAATACAGATCATTAATTACAGCCTACTGTTTCACAGCTGATTTGGAGCTGCCCGAGCAGAGGTCGAGTCGTTTTGCCCTGCTGTGCAGAGAAGTGATGTAAAGCAGTAGGAGCGGAACGGGGGGCGCGGGTTCTCAGATGCCAGGAACGGCGCGCTGATGGACCATCCCTGCTCGGCTCTGCCAGGGGTGTGGAGCTGAACTGTGGATAAAAGCACAGGCAGTGACCCCAGCTGTGCAGCTGTCCTCATGGAAAGCATGGTGTGAGGAGCAGGTGCCCTGTGGGCTGCAGGCAGTGCAGTGCCAGCCTTGGCACGCTGTGACTGTAGCTCTGCAGGCACCGCAGGGTCAGGATGCACGCTCTGTGCTGTGATTGCAGGCTCAGCCCTTCCCTGGCTTGCATACTTTGTGTCAAGGGTAGAAAATGCTTTCCTTCCTTATTCAGCACAAGCCTCAGGCGTTTTGGCCTGGGAGCTCAGCTCGTCCCACAGCTTCTCTGCCAGATGTGGGCCTGTCGGGAGTTTTTTCTGTTTAATCATACGAAGAAAAATGTTATTTGTGTTTCCCAGCAAACGTTTTCACTGTGCTATATCTCCTTAGTCCTAGAATGTATTGTTTTTCCCCTTGCTGAATGATATGGCTTGCTCTTTTCCAGCCTCTTTTTCCAGCTCTTTTCCAAGTGAATGCTAACACAGCTCCTGGGGCTGCACATGAGCGCGCTTACCTCTGCCTGCTTGTGCAGATCACCAGGCAGAGCCTGTGGCAGGGGCATCGCTGCTGAAATGCAGCTGCAGGGCTGGCAATACAGGCTGTTCGCTCAAATCATCACTGTTGGAACGTTCTCAGGATTTTTCAACTCAGAGGAAGCGTTCTGCAGCCGCACAGAGCAGCAGGTGGTTGTGCAAAAACCAACTGCAGGGCCACGGTGCTCCCCATCCCCTGCCTGCACGTAACACTATTGCACGCAGCACATTCTGGACTGCCTTGAGCACAGAGGTGTGGTGCATGTATCCTCCCACAGCTGTCACCCCTTTCACTTTAAAATACATTTAAACAATAATTTGGAACCATTAAAACATATCCAAAACATTTTGCAAGGCCCAGTGCCCTGCTGCCTGCTGGGGGCCCTACACAAGGTTTGGGGGCAGGCTGCAGGTGAGGGTGGCAGCTTGGATGCGCTATCAACTGCAGCTTCAGCAGCAGTGAAATGGATAGGGAGGGCAAGGGAAGGGGCCGGCACGGGCTGGGGAGGGGAAAACGTGGGGAAAAGCAACAGCCCTCAGCCAGGAGTTTGCTCTGCAGCTTCTCCTAGAGTGGCAAGTTTTGCCGTCCCACCGGGACCTTGGGGCCGGCACGTTGCTGCAGTGCACGCAAGACCTCGAAATTGCAAAACAACTGTGCGTCCTACACGGAGCCCACAGCGTACATCGGCACAGCGGTTCTGCAAATCTTAAAAAGAAAACGTCTGCCTGGGGACTTCGTTTCGTTCTTTGCAGACGTCTCACCGCAGGGGACTTGGGGGTGAGCGCTCAGAGCAGCCTGCAGCCGGGACCGCCTGCAGCTCGGGCCGCACCTGCCCGCTGCCACCGGCACTGCACGGCGGCTGCCGCATTGCGAGCTCTGCTCGGGACTGCGCGCTCCGCTCGTCCGCCGGCACCTCCAGCGCTGGGATGGAAGGAGGGCTTCCAAACGGCTTTCATTGAGCCGAGCCGGGGAGGAAGGGGGGGGAGCTGAGAAAAGGAGGGGCAGCGGAGCAGCGCAATCCCGAAGCACGGTAAGCGCGGCCGCTCCGGCCCCATCCCGTGCCGTCCTCCGGCCGAGCATCCCGGGGCGGGGCTACGGGGTGGCTCCGGAGCTGCCCCCGCCCCGCTTCCTGCCCCGCGCCCACCGGGGCTCCGGCAGCAGCGGCGGCGTGCGGGGCCGGCCGAGCCGCGGGAGGGCGGAGGGACGGCGGAGCAAAGTGAGCGGGGTGGGCGCTGCGGGTCCTGCTGCTCCCGGCCGGCTGTTGCTGCTCCGTCGCTTCTGCTGCTCCCCCGCTCCTTACGCCATCCCGCCGCCCCCGGCTCCGCCGCTTCTGCACCCCGCCGTGGCTCTGGTTGCTCAGGCCCTGCGCTCCAGCAGTCCGCGGTTGCAAAACATCTCCTGGCTTTCCATCACGCTTTCCTCTTCACTCCCTCCCCCCTCCGCCTTTTTTTTTCCCCCCGTCGTCCTACACTTGGAGCGGCTAATTGGATGGCAGAGCAGTGAGTGCAGGAGCACGATTACTTCATGCTCTTGCAATGCGGCGTTGCTGCCGTCCCTCGTGGAAGGGCTGAGCCGTGTGCCGCCCGCTCCGAGCCTGCAAGAAAGGTTTCGTTCTTTGTGCGGCTTCGGAGGGGATCTGTGCTTCTGAATGGGGCTCAGCGGATCCTGCGGTGCTTTCGGTTGTGCTCGGGGGCCTCCCTGCCCGGCAGGTTCATTTCACTGTCGGGACTTTCTGGTTTGGTTTTCAGCAGACTTCCGTAGAAAATGCAAAGTCTGGGGACAGAGTGGGGATGGAGCCCTGGCTCTGCCTCGTCCCAGTGGAGGTTCTGCTCCTGTCTCTTTTGTTCCTGCTTGGATTTGGGGTGCTCTGCTCTGGTCTGCTCTGCATGCCCGGAGTTAATCGCACCACGGCACCCAGAGCTGCGATGCGGCCCCTGAAGCCTTCCTGCACCTGAAAGGCTGAAGCCCAGGGCTTTGGAGCTGCCAGGGAGCTTCATTCTGCCCTGCACGGATAGTGCTGTGCACTGGGAGCTTCCTATCACAGCCTTTGTTGCAGCTTTCACTCCGTATCAACCCAAAGTACTTTTGATGTTGTGTGTGTATGTGCACATATGTGTGTGTGTATGTATATATAGTTTAAGTTGCATGTCTCATTTAAAATTACAAGGGCATCTGTCTCCTAATAGTTGCACAACTTTGCTTACATCCCTCCTCCTCCCCCTCTGCGAAGTGATGATCCAGATGTATTTTGTTACTAGCAGAACCCATTCAGTTGTTTCCCAGAGTCAGGGCACCTGCAGTCGTCCTTTACAGCACCAGGGCTGTGACCATCTCAGGTGGAACCTCAGCAAGGAAAGTGCTGCATTCTGTGTCTCCTGGGGCTGGCTCCTGGAGCACGGCTTCTTTGGGGAGGATGGGGGGAGCATTGCACAGCACAGAGGGGTCGCGTGCTTCTCACTTGCTGTGATGTCAGCAGGGAGAGAGCAGGGAGGGAGCTTCTGGCATCCGAACTCGCAGGGCAACGTTGTGCGTGTTCCTACGGGATAACGAAATGGGGATAATTAAATTAAGAGTCAGAAAAATGTGGCAGCCATTATGCCAGTGGGTCTTTTAATTATCAGCCCTTTACCTCCAGCTTGAGAGCAAACACTCTTCTCGTTAGCTCAGAGGATTTAATTTTCTAAGAGGGCAACCCGTTGCCATTTGCACAGTGCTCAGCTGCTGTAATTCTCGTTTCCAGCCCTCTGCTTGGCAGCAGTGCTCTGCTGGGAGCAGAGCTGGGGCTGGCCGTGTGCTCTGTGCAGTGCATGGGGGAATCCAGACCCTTCCCCGATTCCTCAGCCCTCCTCTGGGTGCTCTCTGATAGCTGTATGTCCTGCTATCATAGAAGCACAGGATGGCCTGGGTTGCAAAGGAGCGCAATGCTCATCCAGCTCCAACCCCTGCTGTGTGCAGGTCACCAACCAGCAGCCCAGGCTGCCCAGAGCCACATCCAGCCTGGCCTTGAATGCCTGCAGGGATGGGGCATCCACAGCCTCCTTGGGCAACCTGTGCCAGTGCCTCACCACCCTGTGTGAAAAACTTCCTCCTAATATCCAACCTAAACCTCCCCTGTTTCAGTTTAAAATTCCCCTTGTCCGAATACTATCAACCCATGCAAACAGTCATTTTCCCTGCTGTTTGTGTGCTCCCTTCAAGTCCTGCAAGGCACCCAGACCAGCACTCGGTGCTTGAGGTGCTGTACCAGTGTGTGGATGCAGCAGTGCCCTCATGAGAGCCAGAGTGCTGCTTTTGGGGGGTGCCCAGAGATAAGCAGAAGGGCTGTGAGTTTGGGGAAGAGAGATTGGTGCAGTGTTGTTTTTGGATGTGTGGCAGAACTCGTGGTGTGAGATGAGCTTTGGGTCCCACTTCAGAGTATCTGTGTGTGGGGCTGTAGAGCTGAGATGGGGAACTGGGAGAGCTCTGCAGCACCCGTGGGTGGGTTTAGGGTCTGGGGAGCTTATGGAGAGCCACCGAGGCTTCCAGACATGGAGGAGGGTTTTCCCTGCAGAAGAAGCAGTAGCCTGAGGGGACCAATGAAATGCAGAGGGCTGAGGACTGCTTGGTCCTGGGGTGGGGTGAAACACAGCCTGAAATGTTTCCCTGGTCCTGCTGGGTTCCTCTGGCTCCATCCTGCCAGCTGCTGGGTCCTGCTGTGCAGAGCAGTGTGCTGGCAGACATGGTGTTGCTCTGTGTGCGTTGCTTGAGCTGCTGCCAAGCTGTCATCTCTTCCTTTAGCTTCTTGGGACTTCAGTGTCTGTGCTGTCCCTGTTCTGAGCGCCTGCTGTTTGTAAGCCCTCTCCCCAAATGAAAGGCAGCAATCTTGCTCTCCTCCCAGGGCCTTGTTTTACCTGCAGCTAAAATGCTTCAGAGCCCCCAGATTAACACCCTGTGAGCCTGCAGGTTGCTGCCGTGCTGGGATCTGATCTGGGGCACGTGTGTGATGGATGTACGTGGTATAAAACCTTGCTCTCTTATTTGCAGACTGCACCCAGTGCCAGCAGCACCGCCAGCTACCCGTGCTGAGAGAGCCTCCCGCGTGCAGGTAAGTGTAGGGCAGCTCTCTGTCCTCATCTCATTCTTTGCAGTGTGTAAATATGGGTCAGAGTCCATGAATCCCTCTGAGATGTTTGTTCTGCTGCTTCCCCTTGTGAGCTCTCTTTGCTGTGTTTCGGAGTGTCATGAAAATGGGAAGTCCTCTGACTGTGCTCAGCTGCCTTGGATGCTTTTCTCTCCTATTTCTTGCTGCAAAAAGCATCCCTTCAGCTCAGTACAGTCAGGGAAACTGGATTTAGGTCTTCCTTAAATGCTTTTTGGGGGTTGTAAGCTGAGCCAGTGAGATGGGGAAAACCATTGTTCCCAGGAGCACAGTGGTAAGACCTTTGTCATTAGCAACCAGCGAGTGCTGGGAGTGCAAGTGAGCGGTGGGGGCAGGGTGCAGGTGATCTGAGGACAGCTGTGGCTTTATTTTGTGACTGATGGCCAAGAGAAGAGGAGAGGGGTGTGAGAGATCTGGGTTGGTGGCTTGGTGGGATGTTTCGTGGGGTTGAGAAACATCATAGGGCCCTGAATGGCAAAGTCTGTGTAACTACTGTGGGGTTTTACTGTGAGTCTGGGTGTCCAAAGTTGTTCTGTTCATTCAAGAAGAGGTGGTGCTTGGATTTGTGGAGAGGGAGGAGATGACAGGCAGCACTGGTCTGGGTGCTCTGAGTGCCAGTGCTGTGGTTGCTGCTCTGGCTGGGCCAGAAGGGGCTTCTCAGCTCAGTGCTGTGCTCTGTGATTCCCAGGGAGCAGTGCTGTGGGTGTGTGGGTGCCCACATGGGTTCCCTCCTGGGCAAAATAGGTTTGTGGGAATGTGCTGGGCTCCTTTATAAAGCATCTTGGGATCTAGAGAAAGGCACCACTGCGTAAGAGCAAAACGTAGTCAGCAGGCTACACACGTCCTTAACAAGGTCAGATCATTACCCTGCAACCAAATTAGTTTGTTTTGCTCTAATCAGGTTTAGTAGCTAGAGTGCTCCATAATTACTTGTGTCCTTAGGAAAGAGCGTGAGCATTGCTGCAGGCTGGCTGCTGCAGCACTGTGGGAGGAGGGCTTCCTTCCAGGTGTGCGATGCACCCAGAGCCAGCTGCCAGCCTAGGTGTATTTTCCCTTTGTTTTGGGGGGGATGAGATGTTGCATCTGGTTTTGGTTGTACAGCTTGCATTTGCTGCCATGAGAGATGGAGGGTGATGGTGGAGGGGCGGCTGCAAGCCGAGCAGGAGTAGCAGGGCAGCGATTGCTCGTGGGCACCTCTTTGCTTGGCACAGGAACCAATGCATCGCTGCACCATGCAGGCCTTAGTGATGTTGCATCTGTGATGTAAACCCAAGGCAGAGTTGAACCCACGTGTGGGTGCTGTCAGTGAGGTGCCCCGTGACTGCAGGACGGCTCTTGCTCATGTAGTAAGGTGATGTTCCTGGGGGGCTGGGAGGTCTCAGCTGCTCCTTCCTGGCCAGAAGGTCTGCAGTGGGCGGCTGCCCCAAGGCTGAGCTGCTCTTGGGGGCCCCTCCTGAAGTGTCTTTTGAATTTCCCTCATTTTAATGCTGGTGTGGTGGAACGAGGAGAGCTGTGCGCGGCGCGGCCCCGCTTGTTGGAGATGTGCATTTGGGCAATTCTAAAAATACCTCCCGCTCGCTGAGGCTTGTGTGGGTAACCATGGCAATGCAGCTCCGGCAGCAGGGTTAAAAACAGTGGCGCCAATTAAGGAGGAAAACGGAGCAGCAAAAGCTCGTAAAACCTCCAAGTTTAATAATCATAAAAAAGAGAGCAGCAAACACTACGAGCGG